AGGGGGAGAGAGAGAATAAAGGTCAGAACGGGAAAGGAGCAAGGAGGATCGGACAGAAAAACAGGAAGGAAGGAAAAGGTCAGCAAGAGAGTGAGAGAGCACAACGGAAGGAAGGCAAAAGAAGGAGGAAAATGTCGTTAACGTACGCAATGGCGGCCCAAAGGGCCATGTCTGAGAAGGACCGGAGAGAGAGTGGCATGTAGGCAAAGGAGGATGGGGAAGGAAGGGGGGACGACAGGGGTTCCAGCACCCAGGGATCGACATCAACAGGAATCCGACTCACACAATCTAAGGCACTAGGACAGAGAGCACTAGACTTCCTAATGGAGAAAACAAAGATCACAACTCAGGTTAAAGTCACAAAGGAGGTGATCAAGGGACAGGACGGCAAGGAAGAAGAAGTAGATGTTTGGGAGTATCCGGAGCAGGATTTGCAAACACTCCATGATCTGTATCAGTGACATGCAGTCCTTTTTAACTTCTCAGGCAAGAACAGGGAGCTGTCACTCAACGACAAAAGGAAGTGGGTAATGGAGAGGCTCAGGGGTTTGGAAAGCATACCGGGCATTGAACCTGAGGTYTYGTACCATAAGAGAGGCAGATTCACRGTGATGATAGTATGCGTGGACCCAGCTTATGCTCAGTACCTGTTATCTCTGGGGTCACTCAGATGTCACGGATCGGTGGTCACAATCCAAGCGTGGAAACCACCTCAGCCACCTCCAGCGGAAGCATCAAGGCACCGACAAACAATGTTGAGGGATAACTTTTGGGTGCAGTTCGACAATCTCCCGGAGGGCATGCACAGTTTTGTACAGCAACGCCTAAACGAGGAATACCCGAACAACCCGATTATAGAATGGCTATCGGCAGCAACGCCTAAACGAGGAATACCCGAACAACCCGATTATAGAATGGCTATCGGCGAATCCAGACTCCCTAGCCCCAAATCACGACTCTCGAGTGGTATGTTTGGAGGTCAAATCCGGGGCACCACCTAAGTTCCCGGAGGTGTGGATATTCAGGAGAAGGACGGAACGGATCACGGTCTTCATCTCTACTAAATCGAACCCGTTTTGCTTTAAATGCAGAGCAAGAGGGCATCTAGGAATGCACTGCCCTCAGTCAGGTACGGGATCGGGAGGGAAACAACCTCAACTAAAACAGTCAATGCTGGTGGAAGCAGACAATAAACCAGGAGTCTAGTATACTAACTCGGCACAATACAGAGGGTGGATCTTCGACGACAACCTGGAAACACCTAGGTGGGTTTGGGTTTTAAAGAGCAGTCCGACTGTGAAACCAAACATCTACCCGCCGTATGATAGCCGATGGAGACAGGCAGGGGCGAAACGCATGGAAGACAAGGAAGTAGGCTTCATAACGAAGCCCATGATCGACGAGGACACAGTATTGGACGACAAACAGCGTTTGCAGACTATGGCGGAATTGCCCAAGTTGGGACAAGAGGCAGAACTGGCCTTCCTGGAAAACAGGAGGGCAAGGGAGGAGGCAGAGAAAGTAGCGGGTGAAGAAAAGGGAAGGGAAGGAGGTGAGGGGGAGGGGAGTAGCAACTCCCCAGACAACGGCAAGAGCACTAAGGAGCAGAGTAATGAGAAGGAGGGAACCAAGGGGGGGAAGGAAGACGGAGGCCCACAGGCGTTCACGAAGAGGAAACTTCAGGACAGGGAAGCGGCGACGTCAACGAGCTCAGGTCAAGAAGCCAAGAGATCCAACACAGGTGGAGGGGAAGAGGAAGATCCAGCGTCGCAGGAAAAACAGCAAGGAACGGTTATGGAGGACGCGACGTCAGAGAAGGGCAAGTCACAGAACGAGCAGATGGACATGTCATCATCAGCAACGGCAGAATCTGCAGCAGCTCCAGCAGCGGCATCAGCATCATCGACCCCTCGAAGGAGGGAGGACACGTCATCAGGTAGCAGCAGCTCAACACACAACCGGCATAAGGACGGCGGGGGAGAACCAATGGAAGTTTCAGCAGGAGGCTCACAGGAGGGGGGGATCAGCGGATCCGAGGAAAACATGCAACAGGACACGGAGGAGGAGTCAGAGGAGGACGCAGAGGGGGAAGAATGGGAGGACGCAGAAGGGGAAGAGCAGCCAGAAACTTTGGCACAATGGATCAGAACAGTCCACAAGCTGAGATGGGAGCGACATATCGAGTGTGAGGTTCGCCTGGCACACCACAAGCACCTACGCAACCTGAAACAAGCAACCACAGCAGGGGAAGATACCATTTCAACCAATAGGTTCGAATGGTTGAAGAAGGAACAGGAGATCAATGAGTTCTACGCTGCGCAATATGCTTGGAAGGCACGCCCAGACAACAATGATCTCACTGTGCACAACGCAAGCTACACCAAGCAATTCATATGGCCCAAAACTTATCAATCACAGGGCCTAAAGAGATCTGAACAGAAAAGAAAAGCACAGCAGGAGACAGCGGGCAAGGCAAGTAACATGGAGCAGGGAACGGATGACTCGTCAGAAGAGCTTGAAGAGAGGGAGCAGATTGAGGAGGAAAGGAGACAGGCAGCAATCCTGGAAGCTCAAATCAATGTTCTCAAGGACCAGAACAGGGAGCTGGGGGGCGACACCACCAATTTGCAAAAAATAGCATATGCCCCGCACCCTGACATAAATGCAGCAGCCAAACTCTTCACAAGGCACAACCCGGGAAGGAGAGTTATACTGCCATACCGTTGGAACAGCGGTAATTCCAACTGGGAGGTAGCTATCCACCGGTCACTAGCTCTAATCACAGCAAGAGACAGCCAGTGTACAAGGGCTGGACTCTGGGAACGGATCACGAAGGACTTGCCAGACAAAGCGCAGCTATGGGGTAGTACCACAGAGGACCGGGAGGAGTGGGAGGACAAAGCGGGAGGCAAACAGACGTTAGACTACAGACCTATCGTCTTCGAGCTACAGGAGAGGGCAAAGTTGACAGAGGGACTCATCTGGATGCCATGGCAGGTAGTGGAAACGATACCTTATGGCCTCCTGGGCGGCTCAGAAGCAGTTGAGTGGGTTGCAAGGGGAGCAGAGATTATCACCAGATCTGGTGTCTTCACCTGGCTGCCGGATTACATAGGGGAAAAATTGGCTCACATGGTCGAGGAGGTGGACTGGGCACAAAGGGACCCATGAGGAGCTCGCCCCCCCAAGAGACTCCTGTAAAAGATAGACCAGATGGCAGAGAGGCCAGAGGAAGGAAGACTCAAGAGAAGCATCTAGATGTGTATAAGAGACAGGAGAGAGAGAGAGAGAGGGGGAGAGAGAGAGAGAGAGAGGAGACTCCTGTAAAAGATAGACCAGATGGCAGAGAGGCCAGAGGAAGGAAGACTCAAGAGAAGAAGAGTAGCAATCGGGATAGGGGAGAGAGAAGCAGAGATTAGGGTAGTGTCTTGGAATGTTAATGGCATGGCGCAGATTCTGGAAAACAAGGATAAATGGAACAATGTATTGGAAGCTACGGAATGGTTTGGAAGAAACCCACCAGATTTTCTTTGCATACAGGAAACTCACTTAACCAACGCCCCGCATCACCAAAGCCTGCAGCAGAAGATATTAACGCAGCTAAGATGGGTGAAGGCGAGTTACTGGGCCTGGGCGGTGAGGTCACATTCGGCAGGGGTAGTGATCTTGCAAAACAAAAGAGCGGCTGCTGCAAATAAGATAACTCTTCASGAGGCCTTRGTGGACGAGGGGGAGGGACGTTGGATAAAACTCAACTTCTYGTACCAAGAGGAGCAGTTTACCCTATTCACAGTCTACTGCCCCAACTCACGTCACGACAGATCAGAAATGCTTCAGCTGCTCCAGTCACACATAGAGATTACAAGACATAACATAATGGTGGGGGATTGGAACACCACATTGGAACCAAGCAAGGACAGATTGATGGGAGGCAACTTGGGATCGGGAGATGAAACGTTGGGGGACGARGCATTGGCAATTCACGACCTCATGACTGCTTGGTCCCTAGTGGATCCGTTTCGATTACACTGGCCGGACCAGAAACGGTTCACATACGTCAAAAGGAATCGCAGTCAACATATATCAGCCTCACGGATAGATTTCTTCCTTATTTCCGAGGGGCTAATAGGAGCGTTGCAGTCGGTGAGAATAGGAGATCTGCCACACTGCAGTTGCTTAGACCACAAGCCCATCTCCATGGACCTGACCCTGAATAAGTCCTCCCAGAGAGGTAGAAGCTTCTATTAGGTGAATAACTCACTGCTGAAAACACCGGAGTTGAGGGAGGCTATCCTGAGGGTGTGTCTGGCTCATGATAGTGAGACGCAGTCCTTTCCAGATTTAATAACGGCCCTATCAGGGGCTACGGCAGCGGTGTCTAGACAGCTAGCGGCTAGAAGAAAAGCCAGGGAGAAGGAATTGCGACAGGCTCTTCGCATAGCGGAAAGGAACATAATCTGCAATCCTAGTATGGAAATGTACGAAAAGATCATGGAATCAGCAAGAAAAGAACTAGGAGACTGGGAGCGTTGGAAGGCAAGAGGGTTGCAGATGAGAGCTGGAATAAAAGAGTGGGAAGAGGGAGAGTGTATGACAAAGTACTTCTTTCAAAAGATTAAAGCTAGGGGTAGAAGCACACAGATTGTGAAACTAGAGGGCCCACAGGGGGAAGTATCAGACCCAGAGGGATTGTTGGAGGTAGCCAGCAACTTCTACAACACTCTTTATAGATCCAAGGAGGGAGAGCAGGACACAAGGCTAGTAAAGGAGACCCGTGATAAGTTCTTAGCATACTTAGACTGCACGCTTAAGAAGGATCAAATACTAATGTTGGAGGCCCCGTTATCGCAGGAAGAGCTGAGGGAAGCACTAGACTCTATGACCCCCAACAAAACACCGGGAAGGGACGAACTAACAAGAGAATTCTGGCAGGAGTTTTGGGAGATACTGGGTGGAGAATACGAGGCCTACCTGAATCAAGCTTGGTTGAGGAAGGGCCTAGGAATAGAAGCCTTGACGGGAGTAGTCACGCTTCTCTACAAGAAAGGGGACCCCAAGGATATCAAGAACTACAGGCCGATCACGCTGTTGAACTCTCACCCACAAAATCATCGCCTAAGCGCTAGCCAATCGACTGAGGAGGATAACGGACAGATGTTTCCACCTCGATCAGACAGGCTTTGTCCCGGGGAGGTTCATTCTAGACAACGTGATGACCCTTTCGGAATCGGTCAGATATATAGCGAATAAAAGATTAAACACGGTTATCCTCTTCTTCGATTTCGAGAAAGCATACGACCAGGTCAACTGGTCATTTCTACAGCAATGCATGGAAAAGATGGGGGTGGGACCCAACTTCCGTAAGTGGATAAGAGTCTTGTACAACGACTCTCACGGTCAGGTGCAGGTCAACAGTCACCTCTCCGGGAGATACAAAATGACCAGGTCAGTCAGACAAGGGGACCCCTTGGCGGCCCCGATCTTCCTGTTCATCATGGAGGCTATAGCCTCCTTCCTCAGGAAGGACCCCTCGATAGATCGGTTGGTAGCAGAACCTGACCAGCAGGGCCGATTAATTAACCTGCCCACCACAATACTATTCGCTGATGACCTTACAGTCCTGATCAGAGCCACGGATTCCTCCTTTCAGGCCCTCACGAAAGCAATGGAGGCCTTCCAACTGGCCTCGGAAATGAGAATCAACTGGCCCAAGACGCTAGGCTGGTGGCTCACATTTGACCACTCTCAGTCCCATCCGCAGCCTACCAACCACGGGGGTATGGAGTGGGCACATCCACAGCAGCCTATGAGATATTTGGGGATCAGGCTAGCAGACACGGGCCCCCACCATTCCATGGCCCCTGAGCAGATGTCTAAAATATTAACAAAGCTAGACGCTTGGTCAAACATCTATACCTCGTTATTCGGTAGGGCACTAATCCTCAATGCCTCCATCTTCTCTATTCTATGGTACGCGGGGACTATATGGTCACCCCCCGGGCGCTCTTTACGAAAGCTTAGAAGGGTAGCGGCAGCTTATCTGTGGATGGGGAACCCAGCCAAAGACAGCTTCATTCCCAAAGTAGCCTGGAGGCAAGTCATACAACTCAAGAGTAAGGGGGGGCTGGGCATCCTTGACCCGGAACAGCAGATAAAGGCACTCCAATCCAAGTGGATTATCAAGCTAATTTCTCAACCTCACCTACGTTGGGTCCCTTTGGTCCTGGAACACATTCGAGGACTGTCCAGGTATTCTACCCCTTCCAACATGGA